TATATATGTATCTTTCTGTCAATATGACTTTCAATTTTTGTATTAAATTTCAAGGTCCCTCTCTCCATTCATTCACTATTTGCTGTTGCTGTTATTGATGCTGCTGCTTCCGCTGTAGTTGTTTTATCTTTATTATATGTAAGAACCAATTGCATGGTAGGACAAAAGTACGTGTCAACTTGCCAATTGCATAGCAAATTTGCTTGCACCATCCAGTTTCGAACCAATATTTAACCGCTTTCCGCTCAAAAGTGCAAAACGACGCTGCTTTGCAATGACGTCATGCTAGTTGTGTGTCCCATTTCTCCTTCTTTGCGGGTCCTTCTTTGCACACTATAGCTTTAAGTTAAAAATCTGTTATCGAGAACATAAACGTATGGAAACTGAATGAAACCCAATGGATTAGGTCTCTTCTGGGACATGTTTCGTATTTGTGAGATGCAAATATAATTGAACACTTTTAAATGGAAAGGAATAAAAATCAAAATTTGCAGGAAAAGACTACCTACAATTCGACAACACCAAAGTACCACAATAAAAATAAAACAGCTTGAGTGAACAAAGTATCCCAACGAAACTTTGAACTGGGTAGGGGCTGCCTAGTAGAAATCAAATCTCTGCATGGTATGGATGCATCTCATCAATATGTTTTGTATAGTTAAAGTCATGACCATGACCTTGTTTCTCTCGGCGTCGTTCCTGCATCAAAATTTTCTTGTTCTTCTGTGGGTGGTTGGTGGGTGCTCTGGTATGGTTTGCTCCTTCTTTCCTATCAAACATATATTGTCCATATCTCTAGTTCTCCTCCTTTTTTCTGAGTATGTTACTCCCTGGTAACACTTCTAATATTGGACATTTATATGACCTATTTGTCTTGAAAGTGTCGTACATTTTCCTTCTCGTCATGAAAGAATTGCTCTGTATGTTTGCTGACAAAGCATTCTGAGTCAAAGTCAATGTCTGGACTTCAACTTTAGAGCTCAATTGTGCGCGGTTGTGCATTGCTATCCTTGGCAATTCCGGACACGATATTGGCAAGGGAGTATTCTCTTTACAGCAACTTGAAACTGACAAAGGTGCCGCACGGTGCATGTCATTCAGCCTCTTCGTGTATTGAAATGTGCCACTAATTTGGCAATATGACACGCAGTTGGCTCACTGCCACGGAACTGGACCCTGGCCACGCAATTGAGTCTTATTATTGTATTTTTTTGTTTTTTAGTGAGATTGCCATTGCTGTTCCTGTCTAACTAACACATGTAGTGATTAGGTTTTTAATTGTGTACTCCAAAGGAAAGTGAGTTCGATTCTTGCTTTTTGAGCCTCTCACACAGTTTGGACGGTCCCGACAGGCAAAAGGGAATCAGCTTGCTTCCCTTAAAATAAAAACTGTCTTTTTTAAAGGGTTGGGCATGGTGTCCAATTACTAAGTCAACCAGTGTATTTTATTTCAAGATTCCAAACCATAATATTATTACCACGTGATTTCCACAGCTGATTCGTTGCATATCACAACTCAACCGACAATCGACTACCTGGGCAAGAATCTCCAAGTACACTATGTTGTAAAGGACAACTTCGAGAAATACGACGACAACTTTTTCGAGGCTGTCGTGACGCTGAAAAATTCCGGCAAAGAAAATATAACGGCTGGCAACTGGAGAATTTACTTCACGTACATTCAGGTGAACCCTTTTATTTATTGACACTTCATCAGCTGAGTGCTATCTTGTCATAACTCCCTTTTTCGACTTTGTGAGTGAACTTTTTTCTCGAAAATATTCTATTTGAATCCAAAACAGATACGACTAATGTTCATATTCCATTTAATTTTTTGTTTTATGTTGTACTAACTCTCCGTTTTAGAAACTAGAATTCAATTCTTTAAAAGAGACTTACTTTGTAATAGAAATACCCCCCCCCCCCCGAAAATAGAACTTTGAAGCTGGCGCAAGCTTAATGCCCCACCTAAAGAGTTGGCAGAGAGGAGAGACTAACCATTTCACCATTGTTGCCGCATGTGTCGCCCTTCTTAAGAATTGTTCATCTTTGTTTCATAGATAGATAGATTCATGTTAACAATGCTAATTATTACATTCTGCAGGTCATAGAACCAGACTTTATCAAGAGTGGCCACGAGTACGTTGACCCCGACACCCACATGAGCATCGCACACGAGAAGGGATACATGTTTAGCCTCGGCCCTGCTCCTGGCTTTCCTGGTCTCCTGGAAGGAGAGGAGCTGGAGATTGTGCTCAAGTGAGAATTTTGTAACACTGCAACTTTTTTACGTCAATTGTTACATGGTTGGCTTCTATTATCTATTTGTGGTGGCCGAATTTTGCTATTCAAAAGGCTTTTTAATGGCTGCATCGATCGACATGCAGTTTTTGCCAAAAGATTCTTTAAAATGATCTCCAGATCATGACACCCTTCGTTTTTTCAGTTTTGGGGCAGTTTTGCTGCAAAAA